CAGATATTAAAAACATGATGTCATTTGATTACAACTAATTATTTGTAAGTTAAATATCCTAAATACTTTACACTTATCTTTCTTTTTTTTATTTTTTTGCTAAACTATTTCTTACATGTTCTAATTGTTTAATATTTTCCTCAGTGTTTTTTAGCTACATTTTCTTATTTTACCTATACACAAAATTGCTGTCAAAGGAAAATAAAAAAAAAGTTAGTAGTATAAAAATGGGAGAATTTCAATTATATCATTTTGGTGGTACCACTTTTCATGTTTACCATCAACAAATGAACATTTTCAAAAATACACATTTTATTAAAGGATAAAAGACTCTTATATCCTTGTTCTTTATATATAGACATAAAATAAATATTAAATAAAATATTAACCCTAAACCCTAAAACATTAATTCTAAACTCCATACCCTAAAAAGTAAATCCTAAACTCTAAAAATTAACCCTAAACCCTAAAATATCAATTCTAAACCAAAAATCCTAAACCTTAAATTCTAATAGTATTTTGAGTATTAAAATTTTAATGGTAAAATTGGTTAGTGTAAAATTGAAAGTGTTATTTTGAAAGTGTTATTTCTGGCAATTTTCTTTTAAAAATTTTGCTACCGCATCTTTGCTTTTTTTATTTAGAATTTATTCCTTTTTCTAATTGTTTTAATTTTCAAGTCCACAGTGAGATGAGATCTGCTGAGAATGAGAACATGTAATGATGACATCTTACCTGCTGCACTGAGGCATCGGTGTGCGTACAGCCAGATCTAGAGTAGGAGATATAATAGTTTTTATTTTCTGTCAGGAAGAATATATACCACTAAAAGTAACTAAAGAATAAATCCTAGCTTATAACTCCGAATATGGACGTGCGCAGACGTTTGTCCTTTCCTTGGCATCTTTCCGTTTTGGGCAAACCACACACAATAGCTTCATAAGATATAAACTTTTTTTTAATGCATTTCCCATAATTGTATATATATCATTATTATACATCTTACCCACCAACTAGATAGAATTGTAATTCTCTTTCTTTTGGTCACTCATTTATCTCTATGGGCAAATCAAGGGACATATATTCATTTTTACTTTTAGTTTGGATCCATTATGGATGCGGTGTTGCTTGAAGTTGAAGCCTCAACAAAAGTAAGTACCAAGTAAATGTTTAAAAGAAAAAGAATGGTAAAAAGTAAAATCAAATTACGCATCTTATGATCGATTAGAAAGAATGGAGAAAGGTATATCAGTGACCACATTGTCGTTATTTTAATATTAGCACTGTTAAGATTCGCCTCCAATACACAATTTCCACTTTCGGCGTGGGAAGGAAATCACGTGAAGAGTCCCTGAGGAGACGCGTGGTCGGAAAGAATATGCCGACCAGCCCCACACCGTAAGTGGACAACAGAACCATGCTGGTCATCTTCATCATTTATCCCTTCTTCTAGATTTAAAATCGATTCGCTTCAGATTTGATTCTTATGGTATATTATGGCTTATCCCGGAATGTGATGGAGTCAGTGGGCTTAGCCTCAGCTTAATAAGGCCTAAGAGAAGTAACAGAGGCCCCATCTTCAGTAAATTTGATGTTTTAAAGATTTTTTTTTTTGGATCATCATGTTTTAAAGATATAAACTAGATTTTTTATCCGCGCTTAAAAAATGCGGATACCATTTTTATTGTTTTATTTATAGATGGTTCAATAAATATTTTGCTTTTATATTATCTTTTGTTTTGATGATATAAAATGTCACTATTTAATATAATTTATTAAAATTAATGCAGATTTTAATTTAATTATTATTATCATCAATATGTAAATAAATGTATTGGATGTGATTATGTAGTTTTATTTTGGAAAAATAATATCAACTAATTACATCTGGTCCTGGGAAGCGGGTCAAAATCGGCCCGCCCAACCCGCCTTACCCACAAGAAAATATAATTTATCTGCATCCGTCGGGTAATCCACATGACCCACGGATAATTATTAAATAAGAAAAATAATTATTTTTTCTATTTTTCTAAAAGATAATATTAAATATTATGTTCTTAATTAATTTTTAATATTTTTTAAAAAATATATTTTTAAGGAAATTTAGTATATTTTTGCAAAATAAACTTAAAAATAAAATTTTATTTTTGCAGATTACCGGGTATCCGCAATTGCAATTAGAATAATCCACACCCGTCCTGCATAAAATACACTTGACTCGCAACTTAATTTTTTCAAATCAATCGATCCGTTCTGTGGCGGGTCAAATAGGGTGGGACTCACGGCTAATATCAAAATTTTGAGCTCTAACTACACTAATTAAGGCTGATGAGTTTATTTTTGAAAGAAACTTCATAAATAATTAGAAGGTGAATTTGATCTATTAATAAAACTCATTAGTATATAATTTTTAGGTCCAGAAAAAGACCAAATTACCATTAATAAAAATTTAATTTTATTCATAAAAATAAGGATATAATTGAAAAACATAAAAAATTCATTAAACAGAATATTTTTTTTTTAATGGTATTCATTTCAAGTCTAAGAACACCTCTAAAAATGCTAATATGAATTTTTTAAATAAAATAATACTATTTTTAAATTTAAAATAGTCATGTATTTAAATTTAAACTTTAAAAGAACAATTGACCAATTACTGATAAATAAGTGAGATTTACTATTTCTCATACTGTTTTGTGGATTATAGTTTGAGAATTTTTTTCTTTGTTTCTTTCAATTTTATTTTTATTTCTATTTTTTTTTGTATCAGATACCTCTCCTCTCTAATAGAGATGTTATAATATCATCCCCAATATAAAGTTTTGAAATACATATATATATATATATATATATATATGTATATATACATATTAATATTTAATTGTGAGATTTTTAATTTTACGGAGAACTCAATCCATAATTTCTATGTTAGTATACTTTGGGTTGAATTCACCTTAAAATTGATTTTTTTCTAATAAAACATTAATATTTATATGTACACACAAGTATAAATATATTGAGAACTTTAGGTTGGGAACACAACAAAGAGTAAATATATTGAGAACTTTAGGTTGGGAACACAACAAAGAGTTTATATTCGTTTTTCCAGCTACAAAAATATTCACTGCTTATGTACCCTTGAGTACCGATGTGTTATGTTTATTTGTCATTAGATTTGGAGGTTTTGGGAACATTGTTGTTAAGTAACGTAGATAAGACTGAAAACCTCGGTGTCGAATATTTCTCAATGTGTTATAATACAAAGGCGTAAACGTTTTCGATCGTCTTCCTCTTATGAAAATTATCCAAGTGTTTGTCTTCGTGTCTGATACGAAAGTGTTTACATGCATTAGACCATGATTATCAAGGTCCTTGGACATGGTTCTTATGAATTTTGGGTCTAAAAGAAAATAAAAAAGATTAAATACACTAAGAAATTTTGTTTGAAAGTTCCAAATTAAGAAACTTTTGGGTTGGTCCTTGGAAACAAGTGGCAGTTTGCGGTTTGTCGAAGTTATCAGTGTGAGGCAGATCCCCTTCCTCGTCTCACAACTCTCTCTTGTTCTTTCCCGACTCTCTCTCTCGATAATTACCACTCTTTTCCTTCTTTCGTTGAAAGAGATAGATAATTGCGATTCGATTAATCATTTGATACTGTAAAATTATCTAATCAAATTCAAAAAGGGAGAAGTTGAATTGAGGTGATACTTCCTCCACAAATCGTTATTTTCAATTTGTAGTTTTCTTTTGTGTTTTTGGGTGATTTGCATGTTTGTTTGATGAAATTGAGTTCTCCTTATTCTCTGAGATCTGGATCGATGTATGTATGTCTTGGAACAAGTGTTCGAACAAAGCTGCCAGATTTGATTGAGAGAGAGTAAGATCTTGGGTCGTTCCATTCATGTTCAAGAAACAGAGGTCACCTCTGATACTATTCTGCGTCTTGATTCACAAATTTCACCTTCTTCAACAAATGAATTTCACTTTTTCCAACAAATGAATTTACCCTAAAGACCAACATTAAGTCCCACCAATAATCCTAATTTTCATTAAAAGTCCTTAACATTGTCCTAAGCTAGAAATAATAATAAAAACACTAAGGACTAAAAAAATAGGAACATGGATAATCATGCTCATCATCTTAGCAAAATAAATTCAGTATTTCTCATTAATATAGTGACTGATACTGGTTTTTATCAACTTACTTTCTGATATTTTTAATTTTTAAATTAATCTAACTTTTCATTTGTGGGAAAATGATAGCTCGTGGAAAATTAAGCCATTGATTAAAGTTGTATATGTATGGTCCTGTATGTTTGGTGGTAGTCACGCTCCCACGAATATGTGAATACCAACATCACGCTAATTAATTTTTGGGTTCTTGAACATTATTACACACAACTTGCCTTTGAACATTCTTCTAATCAACGGTCAACAGTCAACTCTCACTAGCCCAAAATAAATAAAACTAAAAAAGTGACCAAAATTATTTGGCGTGATTAGTTTATTTGAAGATGACAAGCGTGGTATAGTTGATTTGTTACTTTTAATTAAGAGTAGTCGGAGTCTTTAGTTTTTAAACTTTAAATTTTTAGTTTATTTTTTATAGTTTTTTATGTGGTAATACCAAAACCATAATCTAAATCATTTGTTTTATCGGATTTCGAAATAGGAGTACAAGTTGTGCAACGCTACAAGTCTGAGAATAAAATAATGGCTAGTGACTTAAACGCATGTATTCGTAAAAACTTAAAAAAATGTAAAAATTTCCAACTTCCAAGTGTTTTACATTTTATTTAAAATGTAAAAATTTCCAAATTCTATTATATGTAGATTTATCTATTTGTTTTTTTCTCAATTTCAAAAACAAAAAGAAAAATACAAATATAAACGTCTCTAACACGTCTTTGTGTTCCAATATTATTCTCCTTTGTCTCTTCAATTATTCTTCTAGCTGCCTCCAAAAAAAAAAAGTCTCTCTCGAACTCTCGCAGGCTCCAATGGATCAATACGGTAGTCAACCACCGTATGGAGACGGAGGGATGCAGATCCAGCCTTACCACGGCGGTCCAAGAACCGGAGACTTCAGGAGCTATAGCGCTTCGTACGCAACGGCGACGGAGACCAAAATATACGATATCAAGAAGGAGAAGTCGATAACGAGGTCGAAGTCTTGGGGAATAACGGACCCAGAGCTGCTGAGAAAGAAAAGAGTCGCGAGTTATAAGATGTATAGTGTTGAAGGTAAAGTCAAAGGCTCTTTTAGAAAAAGTTTTAGATGGCTTAAGCAGAGGTATACACAAGTCGTCCATGGTTGGTGATGAAATATTTGTCTCCTTTTTCTCTTATGATATATCTATGTGTGTTGTATTTTTCAATGTAACTGTGATGGCTTCATGGTCACAAATCATATATGATCAACATAGCTTTTTTTTTTCTTACTTAACTTTTATATGATCAAAATAGTTTTACATATTTTGCTGAGTTTCACAAAATCTTGCACCCTTAAGTTGGTACGGTGGAGATATGATCCATTTTTTAAATTAATTTTTATAAACTATCAACCCGAAAACGGGAATCAAAATTTGATTATAAGAGTCAATACGTATAAATTTCTCAAGTCAAATTATTCCTAACTAGCTAGCTTCACTTGATCCATATCTCTGATACGTTCCCGTTAGCTCGCAATTGTAATCTCATGGTGTTTGAAGTAAAAGCGAATTGAGAAGGAAGGTTTTAAAGACACTCTTACCAGATATGATCCATTATTGTTGCATCCGTTATATATAATCTTGTGTTACCATTAGACTTGGATATGGTTGTGTGTTGACTAATCATAGCTCTGCATCATCAAACAGTTAGCAATCTATATAGAGTGTTTGGATTATTCTCCATAGGCAACCTTTTTAGGTTACTAGAATTCAACTTGAGATCTAAGAAAATCAAGTTACGTTACTAAAATGATTTATTGTTGTGGTTAAGTTTCAATACTATTCCCATATCAGTCAGCATAATAATTACCGAATTAAATTAGATGATCAAAAACACTCAACGAAATTTATTTAAATGCCTCTCACTAAGATTAATAATCAATGAAAGTCAAACAATATTAAGGTTAAATTTTTGTTGCCAGATTAATAATGATTGCTATAAACAGGGTTAATGACTACATTTTTGTATAATAATGCACGCCTTGTCAACATAACAAACTCAGAGGGGCTTTCTTGTAATATCGGCAAAATAATTTTCTCTCATTAAAAATTTATGAGTCGGAGCCTTCTCGTCGGCGTTAGAGAGAAGATCGGATAATAAATAATGTGGGAATCGATTTGCCTGACGCTTGCGGCCACCGCCGGTAACAATATCGGAAAAGTTCTTCAGAAGAAAGGCACTATCATCCTCCCTCCTCTCTCCCTCAAGCTCAAGGTCCTTTCTCTCTCTCTCCGATTCTCAATTTCCGTTAGATTTTGCGGATCTCTTAATCGTGGATTTATATCTCGTTATTCGCATTCGATGAGATGATTATTGTATGTAGGATTTGGATTCGTTTCTTCATGTATTGCTTTGTTGTTATATAAAAATTTTTGATCCATTGGATATTATTGTTTACGATGATCCTTAGAGGAGGTCTCACGTTTGATTATCATGTGTGGATTTTTCAGGTGATAAGAGCATATGCAGTTAATAAACCATGGGCGTTAGGGTTTCTCATGGACATTTTTGGGGCTTTGTTGATGCTCAGGGCACTCTCTCTTGCCCCTGTAAGTATGAATCTATTTTAGAGAGTGGCATTTGAGATTTCTAGCTTTGATGCATGCATGAGAGATTCTTTTCACATACCTGTAATGATTACTCTCTGTAGGTGTCTGTTGTACAGCCAGTCTCGGGATGTGGACTTGCTATTCTTTCGGTATTTTCGCATTTTTATCTGAAGGAAGTCATGAATGTGTTTGACTGGATTGGGATTACCATGGCTGGCATTGGCACCATAGGTAGGTAACCTTTGTTGACCGGCCATCTTCTGCATACTGTTGTTTAGCTGTTTAAGATTGGCATTGTCTTTTCGGCTGTAGGAGTTGGTGCTGGTGGTGAGGAGCAAGTAGCATCTTTGATATCTGTCTTTCAGTTGCTTTGGCTAGCACTTGTTGTTGCCTTCTTGTTTGTAGGTACCTTTCATCTATGGTATTTCCATTAGAAAAGTTTTCCTCTTTGTCGCATCATCTCTGTTCATCTCTGTGTTGACTTAGGGTATATATCATTTTGAAGTCTGGCCATTAGAACAATTGGATTTAATATATTCTTTTTCATCTATATCAAATAATAGTATCACTTGATTGGTGTGTTAATTGCTATGTTTCTGATAATTGGTGTGTTGATTCTTGGCAAACAAGGTACTACTAAATGCGTGGCTTCATATCTATAAACGCCAGCGCAGGGAGCAGGAGCTGGTATATTATCCTTTAGACTTTGGAGTGATAAGTGCTTGTATCAACTGTAATGATTATATATTCTCCTACCAAATGTACTTAGCCTTATTTTGGTGTGCAGATGGAATATGAAGTGGTGGAAGAAATTATATATGGCTTGGAATCTGGGGTTTTATTCGGGTATTTGGAAAGAGCTTATCGTTTTCGATATACGTACCTATAGCCTATGATATTTACCTATCGTTACCTCCTATATATCCAGTCACATGTGCTGTTGATTATCGAAATACTATAGTCGAAATATATACGGACCAATGTGCTGGTGTGTCTGGAGAGACATTTCAAAAGTGACTTAAAACTATATTTGAACTGTATTCATAGCTTGTGTTTTTAGCTGACGATAGTTTATACCTCGTTTCATCACAGGATGGCATCTGTAGTATCAAAGATGGGTTTTGTATTCGTGGAGCAGGGGTTTTCTGCAATGTTCATTCCCATGTGCATTTCGATTAGTATATGCTGTAGTGGGACAGGATTTTTCTACCAGGTAATTTTTCCTTGCTAGGCTTTTCTATGTCCTCAGTCTTATCTGCATTTGAGTGAGGACTGCACCGTTGTTTGTAACATAGAGGATATTTAGTTCATCATAACTCTAGTCTTCTTCTTACTTTACCAGACTCGGGGGCTAAAACATGGGAGAGCAATAGTAGTATCCACTTGCGCTGCTGTGGCATCAATTGTAACAGGTGTGGTTGCAGGAATGTTTGCTCTTGGCGAGAAATTGCCCACTTCACCCTCTGGACGGCTTTTACTTCTCCTGGGATGGTAAAGTTCTACTCACCATCTTCTTCTATTAGAAGAGATGAAACATAGCTTACACTGTGATAAAAATTGCCAAAAAAGAAATCTCCACATAGCATTATGTGCATGAACATAGAACAAATTGCAGAATAATATGTGGATGATTAAGAGTCTTGAAACATTTTTTTTTGCAGGTTACTAATCATGCTAGGTGTTGTATTACTTGTGACTTCATCACGACTTATCAGACATCTTCCTCGGTCATTCAGGCGTTCGAGACAAACCAGTTTAGAAAGAGGTTTCAGCATAAGGCGGACAGCTTCTCACGTACAGAAAGACACAAACCCAAGTGCGGTTATCCAAGCAGCAACATTGCACCATCTCTTAACAACCCCATCAAAAGAGAAAGACTAAAGACTTGACCAACACCAAAGAGTATTATTACTATGCGGATTTGGCTTTACACAGTTTTTTTCTCCTGTGTTTGTGAACTAAGGGTGTCAGATTTTCAAGGGGTTCATCTCATTGATATTCTTAGTTGTGGGAATAGTTAAAAAGTCAAGACCTTTGGATCAGTTTATGATCTTATTTTTGGTATCTGAAATATAAAATGAGTTAATGATGTGGCTTTAATTGTCCAAACTGTGAATTTGGTTTTATGTCATAACGTTATTGTTTTCTCTCCTTTTGTTCATGTAAAAAGACCTTTGATGATTTGAATGATCTTTTGAGTTTTGGTGTCCAAGCTTGAATATTTTGTGATGTATCTTCGAAGTCTTAGTTCTTCCGTGCACGGTATTTTTTAGAGTGATTTAGTGAATTACCCTTATTTCAAGTTCAAATTAGCAAACTACCATTGATTGGACATAAAGGACACTGACACAACCATTTGGCAAGGAAATACCGAGAATACCCTTTCTCTTTCCTCTCATTAACACGAAGCGTAAAAACATTTGTTAACATATAACAATTCTGTTAACGTCTACAATATTTGTTAACAGCCAACACATATATTACCGCGAAGCGTAAAAATAATTGTTAACAGTTAACACTTTTGTTAACGTCTACAATATTTGTTAACAGCGAACATATTTATTAACGCGAAGCGTTAAAATGATTGTTAACAACTAACACTTCTGTTAACGTCTACAATATTTGTTAACAGCTAACACGACGTTGAATCTAAAACCCAGAAAATTGATATCATCAAAAAAATATATCACTGAATTTTGTATTTCCAAATCACATTGAGTAAATTTATATTTACAATTATTATTTAACAATCAATGTGAACTCAAAAATATTTAACATATTTATTTTGCATGTAATTCATTTTGAAAATGATAAGAGGAGAGAAGAGCATTGGTAACGAAAATGAAAAAAAAAAGTGACACACCCACATGTAAATGCAAGAAGAAAGGAGAGAGAGAAAAAGGACAATTTGGTCAGACAAAATAAATATGTCTCATCATGGGCAAGTGACTAATATTTGGGATGTATCGGTCAATTAACTCTATTTTTTATTTATTTATTAATAATATGTTGACAGAAAAAAAGAAGAAGATAATGATGTGCAAGTAAGTTGTCGGTACTGAAAGTGAAAAGGACAAGTTAACCAAATTCCGAAGGGAGAAAAAGATGATGGGAGTGAGAAACATAACATCAAAATTAGGTTGGGGCTTAACCTATATTCGGTACCAAATCAGGACATACGTCAAAACTGAGAGAGACAATTACGTTTGACAATGAAGTGACACAGACACAAACAAAAACACACATTTTTTTTTTACTATTTTTGTATTTTACCATCTATTTTTTTCATCTTCCTTCACGTGAATCCTAATCCCCCACTCTCCCATTCAGCTTTTTGTTTTCTTTTGGGTCCCCCTCACTAAAATATAAATAATTTCACTAGTAAGCTAAAGCTACACAAAAATAACTAAGACATCAAACTGGATCCATCATCCAGTTTAAGAACCTAATGAGAGTAAATTTAATGATGAACTTGATGAATTGACAAGGAAATGTTTTTGAGTGCCTATCAGAAAGATTAATACTACTAATCATGTGAGTGCAGTGGGATCCATTGTAATGACTGCATTTATTCGAAACTGTCTAATTAATGTTTCTTTTACATTGACGGGGAGATTACATGAAATACAGTGTCGTAGAGTTTAACTAGATTTGTATTTCCATTTTTTTTAATTTTACATATACAATAATCACGTGTTTTCTTGCTAATTGATGTACATTTCTTGTCTCTAGCAAATTTTGTTAATATCTTAGAAAAGGCTTCGCGGTTGGTGGTAAGCAGACACACACTAGTTTTGTTGCACTCGTTTTAAAGGGATACTAATACTTTTTAATTTTAAAAAGTATATACATCAATCTTTGACCGAATCTATTGTAAACCCTTTTATGAGTACCTAAAAACATAATCTATAGTAATGTTT